ATGTATCCATGCTATGGTTGCTATGGTTGCGCTCTAAACCAAACTCTGATCATGGGACCATTACAAACTCTACCTCATACAAACTTTACAGCACGTTACATATTTAACAAACCCATATTTTGTAATCACATATTTTAGACATGTTTTTAAATCAATGTTACACTTTTATCATCTTATCTAGTAATTAAATGAACCGAATTAAGCATCTCTCTATCACAGAAACATTTGAAATAAACAACTTTATTTTAACTGTCTCAGGGACAGTTACAAATATATTTGTACATGTCTACAGTTACATGTATAATTGTTATTTTGACAATTAGTTACGTGTAGTTGAACATATAGCAGCCCAGCTAATATTGGTCCACAGCCAAAACCTGTCACATGAACAAGTGAATCTTCAGCTGCTTTTTGAAGAAGACCACAGTCTCAAATTCAAATTCAAAGATGCTTTATTAATCCCAGAGGGAAATCAGAGTTTCAGTACACACAATTCTGAGATCAGACATACATACATAGGCATAGACACATGACAAGAATTGGTGACTGTGGTCATTCGCAACCCGAGTCGCGCTACCTTAATACAGATCAGAGGGTTCATATGAGGATTGGATCAGGTGGGGGGAAAAAAAGGTACTTCAGAGTTACCCTTCACAGGGAGGGCAGCTTTGCTATGTAAAACACATCTCAGACAGAAATGCAACAGACTTCAGACATTACACAACATAAGTGTGCACTAGGTGGGGAGGTAGGGTTGGGACTCTCCTCACGTCAGTGAATGCAGCCGCAGTAAACAGTGCTTTTCACCTCAGTCTGGACAAGGGGAGAAGGTTGTTGGGTTTACAGAGCACAGTGACTCCTGGAACGATTCAGCGGCCTTCACAGCTCGCAGTCCCGCCCAGGCTGGGATAGGGAGACAGAGTTGCCATGGTGACGGCAGCATTCCACATTTCTTCGGGGGGGGCACTTTACAACCAGTAGAAGGGTTTTTCCTGGCTCAAATTGAGGCAGAGGTGGTACCATCCTGACCATGCGCCAGCACATGCATACTCTGTGCATTCAACTGCCCCACCTTTTTAAAGAAGATGGACGCTGGACAAGCTGTGCTGGTGTGAGTCTCTGCAAACAATTACATCTAAAACTTGGACTAAATTCGGACTAAACTGATCAACAACATTGGAAAACTATTTGAAACAAGGAAAAAACTGCAACTTGATAAATTTACAACTGGAGTTGTGAAAGATGTCAAAGGGAAGACAAAAGCAGTCTTCCAAACAAATGGAGGCAGATGCGCAAAAACAAATGGAGAATAATCGAGAGGAAACAACTGAGACATGACTATAGTAAAGAAAACAATTGAGTATGTTGTTAAACCACTTATGTTTGTAATTTGTCGGTTCAGAATGGTATATTTCCAGAAAAAATGAAAATCGCTAAAGTAATTCCGATATTTAAAAACGGTGATAGACATAGCTCTGATAATTACAAACCAATCACAGTGCTTCCCCAGTTTTCTAAAGTGCTTGAAAAATGGTTCATTCAGAAACTAGACAACTTTATTGAAAACAATAAACTGCTGAGTGACAGTCAGTATGGATTTCGATCAAATAAATCTTCATCCTTGGCATTACTAGAATTAAGTGAAGAAATTACAGCAGCAGTAGAAAGGAAGCAATACACAGCAAGTCTGTTTATTGATTTAAGAAAAGCATTTGATACCATAGACCATAGTCGGTTACTTTCTAAGTTAAAGGATTACGGGATAAGAGGGATAGCTCATGATTGGTTAAGTAGTTATCTGACTAAAAGAAATCAATTAGTACAATTAGAAGATGAAGTTTCAGATTCTCAAATTATTACATATGGAGTCCCACAGGGTTCTGTGTTGTGACAAAAGCTCTTTAATTTGCATATTAATGATATTTGTGATGTGTCCAAAATATTACAGTTCATTTTGTTTGCTGATGATACAAATATACTTTGTTCTGAATGACTTACACATTATTTTGGAAATTATAGATCGTGAGATGACTAAACTTAAGAAGTGGTTTATGGACAATAAACTATTTATAACTTGGAATAAAACGAAATTCATGATTTTTGGTAACAGGAAGACAGATGATTCTGTTACATTGTCCATAGATGGTACTTCAGTTGAAAGAGTAAATGAAGTAAGATGTTTAGGGGTCATCTTGGATCATAAACTTAATAGGACACTCCAAATAAAATATATAAAACAAAAACTGTGTAAAAGTATTGGACTTTTAAATAAAGTAAAAAGTATTTCGGAGTCATCAGCACTTCATATATTATATTATTCATTTATTGTTCCATACTTGACTTATTGTATAGAGGTTTGGGGCAACACATATGAAACAAACACTAATCCTTGGAATTTATTCCAGAAGGAAGCTATGACAATTATATATAAAGTAGATAGGTAGTACTAGAGAACATACTAATAGATTTTTTATTGAATCAAAAATTATGAAATTCAGGGATTTGGTTAATTTGAAAACTTTACTAATTATGTTCAGGGCAAAAAAGAGGTTACTGCCAGTGAAGTTACAGAAGTTTTTTGTTTTGATTTCAAATGATGGAAAAAATAGAAAGAAGCCTGAGTTTAAAAGAGTTTTTGCACAAACAACATTAAAGCAAATGTGTATTTCAGTATATGGAGTAAAATGATGGAATAATCTGGATCTTGACCTGAAAAAATGTCTAACTACTGATCAATTTAAGAGACTATATAAAGAAAAAAAAATCATGAAATCCTATGATTGATAAGTAAATATTGAATAAGTACATTGATAAGTTTTATTGTGATTTTGTTTACAAAGATAAGGAAGTTCTATACTTTGGTTTGTGTATAAGGCCATTCTGTAAATTATATTGTATGAAGTAGAAAGGGGTAGGTCATATAAGACTTCTTGTTCCTCCCCCTTTTTTCACTTAGGAGACTGTTGATGATTGTATTTTGCATTAATGATGAATGAAACTGCTGAGTGAGAAAATAAATTAACAGTTAAAGGCTAAATATTATAAAAGGCTCAATAATATGCATTAGTGTTTAGTTCCCTTTTTCCCATCTGATATTTATAGTTAAAACATTTGTAACTATTTGACCTACATTTCAGTAACATTTTAGGTTTGTATTAATAACACTCATCTTAGTCACAATGACACATAAATATATCCAGTAAAATATAATGTATTTCATTAACATGCATTTGTGTTGGAAATGCTAATAACATTTAATTTCTGCTGCTAACAGTGTAATGGTGGCATGTCTGTTACTGTATGTACGGGTTAGGGTTAGGGGGGTGTTCCGTTTTGCCTTGGACCCCAAAATGCCTTGAAACGGCCCTGGGTGTGTGACTGAGTTTTGACGAACATTTTACTTTCAAACACTTTGTTTTGTTTTCTTGTTTTAATTTAACTATTTTCCTGTCCTGTCTGTCTCTCATCTTCCTGCATCTCCTCTAAACTCTCCAGATCAGGGGTCGGCAACCTGTTCCCATCAAAGAGCCATTATTACCTGTTTCCCACAGTAAAGAAAACACTGGGAGCCACAGCAGAGAGCTGCTTTAACCAATCACAGCAGGAGACAGCAGCCAATACCGGTCGCTCGTGTACGTCAGATTTATCTTCCAACAGAAGATAATCAATAAAGCGATTTGTATAAAATGGATCCGGAAGTTGTAGCCCATCTCTGCCTACAGTATTTTGATATTTTTCACCCTGTTAGTGGCTTTAATGAGCAGGTGTCACTTTTGTCTTACACGCTTCTTTTTAAACTTTTCGGAATACAAATCCAGGCTCCGATCAATTCCTTTTTCTCTCATTTACAGTGATGGAGATAACAGCACAGTGCGCCTGGCTCTGGTGTTAATCAAATTTAATTTCATCTCTTTGCAAGAATTTTCACAAGAAAATTCGAGGAATTCGAACAGGAATTCGAGAAACGTGATTGGTAGCTAAGACTCGTGCTCTCATTGGTTCCACCCAAGTTCCTCCCACTGACGCTAAAAAGATCTGTATCACTGTAGATTAGAGGTTTGTACCTGTAGAATGAAATGTGTGTTTTGAGAGTTTTGATTTCAAACTTGTACATTGATTTTTTTCAATTTGGAAGTCTGCTAGGTAAAAACCGAAAGTTCCATGTTTCTGAATGAATGTTTGATGTTACAAAATGAGTAGTAAATGTACAACATAAAAGTTTGATTTTACAAAATAAAAAATACATGTACAAAATACAACGTTCCTGTTACAAAACAAGAAATACAAGTACGAATTGAGAATTACAAGTTAGAAAACTTGGTACAAGTTACACTGAATATTGTCCCAATCCTAGTTCCATAAGGTAGCAGTTTTTCTTTAGGACTGAGATGAGAGGCAGGAAGATAATAGAGACAGGACAGAAAAATTGTCAAATAAAAACAAGAAAACATAACAAAGTGTTTGAAAAGGAAAAGGTAGGTAGATTTTTCCCACCTACACATTTTTAACTGTCTAAGGCCCTGTCCACACGTAGCCGGGGATCTGCCAAAACGTAGATATTTTTCTACGTTTTGGCCTGTCATCCACACGAAAACGGAGTTTTTTTCACACGAAAACGGATCTTTTTTAAAACTCCGGCCAAAGTGAAGATCTGCGTTTTCTCCGTTTTGGGTGTCTGCGTGTGGACGGACAAAACCAGAATTTTAAGGTCCGCAACGTCACTTTCCGCGACAAAAAAATGCTGACATCACGTGTGCGACCTGTGTTTACACTAGCCGACAGCATGGATGCCCTCACAGCTGCGCTCGCTTTATCAATTGTCCAAGCGCTTTCTGCTTGTTTGTTTTTGCAAGCGGAATTACTGCTCCTTGCGGAAGACCACAGACGAAGGACGAGGTTAAGAACGGGGGAAGTACTGCCGCCTACAGGTCTGGCATGTCCTTAACAACGTATTTATCCGGGTACGTGTGGACATAGTTTGTTTTTAAAATGCGGTGGTGTGGATGCAAGTTTTTGGAGGGGCGGATATTCGTTTTCAAAAAACCCGGCTACGTGTGGACTAGGCCTAAGGTAATCATTTGTAAGCATGTAATATTTACATATTTGATACAGTTCAGATCTCCATCAAACCTCAGTCCCTCGCAGGGCCGTAGTTCGCCTCTGAGGGGGCCGCAGTGCAGGGGGAGGGGGCAGAGTGCTGAAGCAGGGAAACGGTAAAGATGCAAAAAATTCTGTTGTTAAAAATAATGTGTGTTAACTTTGAAAATGTGGGCACAATTTTTAATTACTCGTCCAAAACTCCAGACATTTTAAACATGTTTTTAAAATAATTTAAAAAAATCTTTTTTTTGTTTTAATTTTTTTGTTTTGGTGAAGTCCCTAGTGATTTTTATCTTGAGAGGAGCTATGTAAAAAATAGTTTCCAACACTGAGAGAAAGGGGGAGAGTTCATAAAAACATCAAAGGATGAACAAGAATCCGCTTCTAGACCTGCGGAAAGGGAGAGAGAGAGAAAAGGGGACACAAAAATACAACAGAACCAAGATTTTACTGCTCCAACTGCATGAGAATATATAACAGTAACAATTTTTGCTGAAAAGCACACAGTATTATTTCATAGTGCATTTAGTGCCAACCACAGCCTTAGTTATTTGTCAACAACACCAGAGCCCATACTTGTGAGAGCACCATGTGTACACACACACATGCATGTAAAATAAGTGTTAGGGGCTACAGACAAGCCCCCAGACCTCTGTGAAAGACTGAAGAGATCCAAGCCCCAGAAATCCAGAGTTCTCCCACTGAGACCTCTGTATTCAATTGTGGGTAGTGCTTGATTACCATCAGCATTACTGTCTCTAATTAAACTAAATAATATTTAAAATCCCCGAATGTACTGAATCCAATATGAAAAACTAAGATTTTGTATTTGTGTGGGTGTGTTACAGGGTGATGAAGGTTACTACATCAGTTGGGGGTCCTCAGCTTGTCCCTGTGTGGAGAAGGTTCAAGGTTCTTTGCTGCTGCCTGTCGAAGTGAAGAGGAAAATCACTTTACTGGCTCGTAACCTCCACCTCTATCAGATGCAGCAAACACAATCGGTAAGCATCAGTGCACGGAAAATTATTCTGTGCACCCACCCTGTGACATAAGTAAGCTTAGGAGTTCTTTATTGTCTTTAGGGTTGGGCATCGAGCGTCGATTGGAACCGGTTCCAACTGTTAGTTTTTCCCGGAATAGTTCAAAGTTTTTTAGTTTGATTCCTAGAATGCCGACCGGAAGAGGAATCCGCGGCCGATCTCCGTGAAAAATAAATGTGATCTGCAAATTGTGATCAATGCTTTTCAGAGCTGATCACACCAGCTGTCCGTGTGCAGCACCGTCCCCCTCCCCCCTCCGCCCACCCAGACATAAACAAACACGTCTGCCGAACTTTTACTCCGTGATGTAAACGTTAACTCGTGCAGCGTAGAGGAAACGTGTTAAATACGTCAACACGGTGGATTTAATAGAAGCTTAAAGAACAAACTCTGGACGGTGTGAGGTGAGTTTGTCTCACTGCAGAAATAACAACACACACGGAGCGCCAGCAGTCAGACGCAGCCGCTCACCAACACTCGTGTGTGTGTGTGTGTGTGTGTGTGTGTGTGTGTGTGTCAGAAGGCTGAACAATAACCTGTAGAATAATTAAAGTCATGATGCTACAGCAGCTTCTCTGTGGTGGACCACACCAGCTTCTGCCACAGTAAATAATAATAATAATAAATCACACACAACGTTTAATTTCCTTTCTGAACTATTTCTGTTGAGTTTTAATGTTTAAATCTGTTAGCTTGTTACTGACAGCAGCTACGTTTAAGTTTCACTTCCTGTTGTGACTGAAGCTGCTGCAGCATGGAGGTGTAGGTCTCAGTCATCCTGGACATGATCATCCTGAGAGTTTTAGCTGGAAACAGCTGCACGTTTCTGGATATGTTGGAGACATTTAGCCTCTCATCCCAGAGGCTGCTTCCAGACTTTGGTTGTGGTCAAAAACAAACACACTGGTTGTGCTGCAAGTCGTCTTCTTTTTGTCTCCAAAACATGTTTTTGTCTAAATGAAGGTGATGTTGTTGTTCATAGAGTTAAAATTCATGTTGAAGTTAAGATTATTTCATCCAGTAGGACCTGTGGTTAGCTGGCTGGTGTAAAACATGGAATGTCTTGAAAGAATCGGAATCGGGAATCGATAGGAACCGGAATCGAAACAAGGAATCGGAATCGTTCAAACTCAAACGAAGCCCAACCCTATTTGTCATCATGCATGAGCATAACACAATTTCTTTGGTCTCTCTCAGCTTACTGACATGAATTTCTACAGAAGATAAGACAATAGTAAAATTTCACACGGTTTAAAACATCATGTGAATAAAGCAGCTATAAACTAGACTGGGACACACATGCATGGACACTGATCAACCTACTAATATTGCATGTTGGCCCTTGCACTGGGTCGATGTAAACATGGACGTAACAGAAGCAGCATGAACACACAAGTGAAGGTAATGCGTAAATAACAAAGTGTACCTGGTGAAACGTGAAAATCGAGCAGGCTGCTCTGTTTGTTTGCAGGAGTCAGCGCTGGAATACGAGTGTGTTCTTGTTGTGGAGGGACGGTTGGTGGTAGTGGATGCATATGTGGAACCCGATGATCTGAATCCATCAAACTTCTACATCACATGTCAGCTTCACCAGGTCAGCTTATGAAAAGTGATTTAGTGTTTAGTAGGAGTGTGTTAGAGACCGTACAGCAGCAGGCCAGCCAAGTTCCGTCCTTGATTCTGTTGTTTTTGCAGCGACATCCTGCTATATGTAGTATCTGTAGCACTGTGTAGTAACCGAGAGGCAGTGCTGAAGTTACTAGAGAACTAGTGTTTCTAAATGAAACGGTGTGGTTTGTTTAGTACACATACTCAGCCCCTGTGGAGGAGTACAACGCCATGGTGTATGTGAAGAGGAGAAGCACCTTTCATGTGGACAGTTCTCCTAATCTCTACGGTCAGTTAAACCTTATTGTTCATTCTCTGCTATGCTCACAGCTGGTTTTATTCCTCTCATCAGCTTGCTGATTCACTTTTACATCTCTTGAGGTCCTTGACACCATTGAACCTGAGAAGGACAAACTTATCTCTAGCAGCAAAAAGCTCCATGGAGGTTCACTTAACTCAGTTACTAATGCAGGAAAGCCGAACGGCGTGGCGTGGGAGAACATTGACCCTTCTGGACATTACAATAGTTTCCAGTCAGGCTGTAGAGAACACCACAGCGCTGAGACTGCACTTGTTAAAGTATTAAAGGATATTCGTCTAAATACAGATTCAGGCAAAACATCTGTCCCGATGACGCTCCGTCTCACTGCAGCTGTTGATACTGTGGACCACAACATCCTTCTTGATAGGTCATAACCTGGGTGGGACCTTCAGGCACAATCCATAGTTGGTTCTGGAGGGTGATGGGAAGATAAATGATCGTGACGAGGAATTAATGATCTGCTGCCTGAGTGGTGAACAGGTGAGTGGACCTTCCTTACATGGGAAGTCCCGCTGTCACGTGAAGAAGGGGACGGCTGCAGACCTGCAGGTTCACGCCTGCAACAGTGAATCTGGTGTGATCTCCAGCCTGAACACAACGTTCTCGTTCCTCGCTGCTCCTGACGCGCTTAAGCATCTTCCCCTAGCTCCCGATCAGCTGATGACAGCTTCAACACACCTCGCTGCTTAGTGATAGTAACACATATGATGCTTAGACAGTCACTCGCCTCAGAGACATGTAATAACCCACAGAATTGTTTGGGATGGTTCTAGAGCGTTTCTGTTACTTTAAGACACACGTTGTTGGTGATTGTTTACAGAGTAGTGAGGACACGGAGCGTTTTCCCAGCTGCAGCCAGGTGCCTCTCGTTTGTCCGACTGCTTTCATAAACTGGTGTTAAGGGCAAAAATTATTCTGTCTGGAGCTTTCAGCGCTGCACACGCATAAATGTTCAAAATGGCCTACCTTCCACTTTTGTAAAGTTCCCGGTGCCACCGGGCAGCAGCAGCAGAGATCAGAGACGATCCGCGACACGGACTCCGTAGTTGTCAGAAAAATTATTTATTTATTTATTTTGTTACAAGATAAGAGAAGAGGCTAACGTGCTTTACCAAGTAATGATAATAATACAGTGATATTTAATATAGTAATATATAGACACATATAGTAATTCAGTATATAGACACAGAGGGCTGTGGGGGGAAGTGGGGTTGTTTATGTTTGTGTTTATTTATTTAGCAGACGCTTTTATCCAAAGCAACGTACAGTTTATAACCTACAGGGCATGTTGTGATCTGTGGGGGAAACCGGAGTACCCGGAGGAAACCCACGCATGCATGGGGAGAACATGCAACTCCACGCAGAAAGGCTGCAGCTGAGTTTCGAACCTGCAACCTTCGTGCTGCGAGGCAACAGTGCTAACCACTGCGCCACCGTGCATCTACGGAATGCCAGAGTGGCCAAATGACCTCAAACATATTGTAAGGGTTTGAATAGTAAACTATAGGGTTACCGTTTTATTTCGAAGGCGAGGTCATCGGGTGAGAAATGTTGTTCCAGTTTTTTCGCTCTGGTTTGCTATGCTAGTAAATACTCCGTTACAAGCGATACCGTTGAAAAAGTGAAGAGTTTGTAAGGCGTGGGTTACGGCGACAGAAGCCCGAAAATAATACTGATAAAAGAGCAACCAGAGACTCTGAGTCATTACAGTATAATCGCTGATATGAGCCAACACTGTTAGACTCCAGCCATGTTTGCCCTGATAACTAATAACGCCACGGTGCATGAGCCATGTGATCTTCAGTAGATGTAATTACATCATCATACATTTAGTTTAACATAATAGATTTTATTTTCTCTGGACAAGAAATATACGATATGGCCACCTGTAGATGAAAGTAAAATAATTTTACATTAATTTTTAAATACATAATTAAATAATGCCTGTGGGGACATTTGATACACTCTAGCTCTCAACTGTGAAGAAGAAGAAAATATCATTTCTATAGCGCCTCTCAAGATAAAAATCACGAGGCGCTTCACAAAAACAAAAACAAAAAATTTAAAAAATTGTAAAAATATAAAAAAGCACTTAGAAAATGTTTAAAAATATATTTAAAATGAGCAAGAATAAGCAATGGCGATTTAAAAGAAAAAATGTTAAGAAAGAGGGAGAGTGAATAGGAAAGAGGGAAACCAGTGGATCCTGAGGAAGGTGGAATAGGTGGGGAGAGCAGAATAAAGAGAGAGAGGTGAAGAAGGTCATACAAAAGCCAGCTTGAACAAGTGAGTCTTCAGCTGCTTTTTAAAGGAGACCACTGAGTCCACTGATCTCAGGCTCAGGAGGAGAGAGGTCCAGAGTCTGGGGGCCACAGCAGCAGATGATCTGTCACCTTTGACCTTTAGCCTGGTGCTGCACAACCAGTAGGCTTTGATCACTGGACCTCAGGGACCTGCTGGGGGTGTAGGGACTGAGAAGATCACCAATGTAAGATGGTGCTTGCCCATGTAAGGCCCTATAGACCAGAACCAGGATGTTGAAATGAACCCTGAAGTTGACTGGCAGCCAGTGAAGCTGGAGGAGAAGCGGGGTGATGTGGGTGTGTTTGGAGGACTTGGTCAGAAGCCGAGCACAGGCGTTCTGAACCACCTGTAGACGGTTCAGGGAGGTTCTGCTCAGACACGTGAAAAGAGAGTTACAGTAGTCTAAGAGTGAGGAGATGAAGGTGTGGAGAACTGTCTCAAGTTCAGAGCGGGACAGAATGGGACTCAGCTTAGCAACGTTCCTGAGATGGAAGAAGGAAGAGCGAACAAGAGAACTGACATGAGAATCCAGGGTGAGAGCTGGGTCAAAGGTCACACCAAGATTCCTGACAGAAGGTTTGGTGTGGGAAGCAAGCTGACCAAGAGAGTCTCTGACTTTGGGAACCAGCTTGTCTGGGGCACAGATGAGGATCTCAGTCTTATCTTCATTCAGCTGAAGAAAGCTCCCACCATCCAGGTTTTGATAGAGTCTAAGCAGGTGTGTAACAGCTGCAGCTTAGACATCTCATGGGGCTTAAAGGAGATGTACAGTTGGATGTCATCTGCATAAAGATGGTAGGAGATTCCTTTGAAGGAGCTCAGGATGTGCTGAAGAGGAAGCAGATAGAGGAGGAAGAGCAGAGGCCCCAGCACAGAACCTTGTGGGACACCATGGGTAAGGGAGGTGGTGGAGGACCTAAACTTGGAGACGGCCACAGAAAAGGAGCGCTCAGAGAGATAAGAGGAGAACCACTCCAGAGCAGATCCTGATAGGCCTACCCAGTCTCTCAGCCTCTCCAGTGGCAGGTGATGGTCAACAGTGTCAAAGGCTGCAGTCAGGTCCAGCAGGACCAGAACAGAACAGTCCCCTGCATCACTGTGAGTCAGAAGGTCATCAGAGACCCTAAGAAGAGCTGTTTCAGTAGAATGAGCTCTACGAAAACCTGACTGGAAGCTATCATAGATGTTATGTTCATCAAGAGCAGCTGTGAGTTGTTTAGCCACAACCTTTTCCAAGATCTTGGAGATGAACGGAAGTTTAGAGATGGGTCTGAAGCTGCTATGGAGAGAGGGATCGAGACTCGGTTTTTTAAGAAGCGGGTGGATTACAGCGTTCTTAAAGTAAGCAGGGACCTGACCAGAAACCAGAGAAGCATTAATTATAGAGAGCACGCTGGGACCGATGGACTGAAAAGCACTTTTAAACAAAGATGAGGGTAAGATGTGAAGGGGGCATGCAGAGGTCTTCATAGAGTTAACTAGTTTGGTTAACTCAGGCAAAGAAACAGGAGCAAAGCTATCTAGGATGATGGGCCTGGTTGGAGTTGGGAGAGGCAGCGATAAGGCTGAAGGAGAGATGCTAGATCTAACCTTATTGACTTTGTCCACAAAGAAAGACAGAAAGTTCTCACAGTCTGTAACAGAGTGGATGGAGGCTGTAGGAGAGGCAGGAGAGACGATGCTGCTGATGGTGTTAAACAGCACCTTGGGGTTCCCTTTGCTCTGGGACACCAGGTTGGAGAAATAGGAAACCCTGGCGTCTCTGACTGCAGAGTTAAAGGATGTCAGAAGATTCTTTAGGTGCAGCAGATGGACGTGGAGATGGGTTTTCTTCCACAAGTGCTCAATTTTTCTGCACTGGCGCTTCAGGCTGCGAAGGCTGTCATTAAACCAGGGAGTAGGGTTCACTGCAGGACCTGATCTGGTTCTGACAGGACAGATGTTGTCCAGAACAGAGAGGCAGTGCTCGTTGAACTGAGAAGTTAAGGAATCTGGGTCGTTATCAGAAGAACAGGGTGGATCAAACGCAGCAGAAAAATTGCTAGCTGTGCTCTCATTAAGAAAACGAGAACTAACCATAAGGCGTGCAGGAGGTGGGGACGCAGAAACTGACAAGTTGAAGAAAATGCAATGGTGATCTGAAATAAGAACGTCCTCAGGACAAACACTGTCAGCATTTAGATTCAGGGTAAAAACAAGGTCTAGAGTGTGTCCCCTGGTGTGTGTGGCCAGAAACATGTAGCCCCACACACATGTAGCCCTCTGGAGGTCATTCTGTAGGGCACGAGCAGAGCTCAGCCTGTTCCCCCTTGCACAAAGGAGCAGGTATCAGTCCTGCTGATGGGTTGTGGACCTTCTACGGCCCTGTCCAGCTCTCCGAGAATAACCGCCAGTCTCCTGAAATCTCCTCCATGTTCTGGAGATTGTGTTGGGAGACACACTAAACCTTCTTGCTGCATCACGTGTGGATGTGCCATCCTGGAGAAGTTGGACAACCTGTGCAACTTCTGTAGGGTTAAGGAATCGCCTCATACTGCCAGTAGGGAGCCGAAACTAGCACGAGTGGAAAACCAGCCGACAAAGATCAAGAGGGAGAAACTTGAAATGACCTCTACATGTTAAACCAGTCCAGTTTTGAGGGTTTTGTAATTGTTGCCACTTTAGTGCACCTGTCGTTACGTCCATGAACACCGATAGAGCTGAAAGTGATCAACAATGCCCTCAGCTGCTTAATCCACCAGGAAATTATCAGACAGGTTTAATTGATTTCATGCCAGGCCCAATAAAAAAGTGTTCCTTTAATTCTTGTGAGCAGTGTGTACACACACACACATGCACATACACGCGCACACACACACACACACACACATGCACACACACACACACACACACACACATATATATATATATATATATATATATATATATATATATATATATATATGTGTGTGTGTGTGTGTGTGTGTGTGTGTGTGTGTGTGTGTGTGTGTGTATATATATATATATATAACCATATATTTATGATCTACATAATTTTAATATCTATATAACTTTTTTATATTACAATTTTCATTTTAGCTCTTATTATTTTATATTTTGTCGTGTGTGTGTGTGTGTGTGCTGTGTGTGTGTGTGTGCTGTGTGTGCATGTGTGTGTGTGTGCTGTGTGTGCATGTGTGTGTGTGTGCTGTGTGTGCATGTGTGTGTGTGCGCGCGCATGTGTGTAAGGACCATACAAATGTGCTCGAGACCAGTTCTGTCCCTCACGCTGTAGACTGTCAGCTTCAAATCAACCACAGAAAAAAATGTGTGAACGTGTGAAATAGGCAGTGGAAGGCACGGGGTTGGGAAGGAGGACATGAGACGGGTTTAAAGTGTTTCTTTTTATGAATTTTAGTTTCTTTTTAACTGCTATCTGACTCCAACGGTTGATTATGCTCTCATTGATAATAATAACCCATCTATCTATCTGCCATCAGTGACCTTGTACAACTGCTCTGTGGGCCGATCTGACTGCAGCCGCTGCCACACAGCTGACCAGAAGTACAGCTGTGTGTGGTGTGGTGGTCTGCAGGCCAGCTGCTTGTACTCAGACTCCTGCAGGGAGCAGGTTCAGCAGACATGCCCTGCCCCTGTCATACACTCTGTAAGTACTCTGCTTTGATCTCATCACTGTAGGTCACAACTTAGACCCTATCTCCACCCCTGTATTTGTTTTTGTGTTAACAAATTCATGGTTTAATCATTCTTACAGCCCCCCCCCCCCATCCCCTCGTTAAAGACAATGAGCTCAAGCTGAAGTGAATACATCTCTGTAGTAGGAATGCCAGTGTTCACATAAGAGCTTTTATTGGTTTAATTTTCACTGAACATCTGTTCCATGTTGTCTTTAGATTGAGCCCCTGTCTGGACTCCTGGCAGGAGGCACCTTGGTGACTATTTCAGGCTCCAACCTGGGACAGAAGGTTGAAGACATCCTCCACTCTGTGTCAGTAGCGGGGGTGTCCTGTAATGTCCTCCCAGACCTGTATGAGATCTCCTCTAGGTACGGCACACATTTATCCCCTCATGTTATCGCTGAAGTCTAGGTTTGCCACACTTCACGTAAAACACAGCACCCATCAGAGCCTCCGTGAGACTCACCAGGAGAGAGAAATCATCATTCACTTTATTCACAGACCTCATCCAACTACACATTTACATATTCACCAAGTACCCAGTCCCGTAAAATGGAATCCACATCAATACAATCAACAATAAATAAAACCTCCCACCCAGTCAACCAACACATCCGCCACCCCCCCAATAACCAGCCATATCTTCAACATTCAATCTCTAAACTACCAGCAAGCACACATCACCTGTTATGGATGGTCAGAGGAGGCACCACCTCCCTCGTCATCGTGACAAGTAAAATAGTAATGATGATTTAATATAACGTCAATGTGTCCACTTACTGCTCTTTACATTAGTTTTCTGTGTGATTTCATCATGTTTATGGTCAAAATCTCTGAATTTACCTGTTTACCGATCAAATATACATGCAGAGACGAGACAGACGAGCCTGCCGCTGCTCTCTCTGAACTTCCACACACACACACACACACACACACACACACACACACACACACACACTGATTCAGGCAGAGCGCATGTGCCATGTATTTTTTGCTGCCTCTTGGCCAGGACACCCTCTTAAAAAAGGTTCTTAACCTCATTGGGTCTCTATCCTGGTTAAATAAAGGTTAAATAAATAAATAAATAAATAAATACCGTATTCACCCGAATATAGGAAGACCCCTTTTATAAGATGATCCAAGAAAAAGGTAAAATTCACTTTTTAAAGAAAATATTTAATATTTGAAAATTGTTGGTAAATACAATAATACTGTAAATACAGACTACTTTAATATTTACCTATTAATGCAGTCACAAAAATCTTATGAGGCTTTTGGGGTTCTGTCAGAAAATCAATCAATCAATCAAATGTTATTTATATAGCACTTAATCAGACCAATAAAATCCAACTCAAAGTGCTTTACCCAAACCGGGTACTGAACAAAAAACCCCCACTGTAGTCAAACTGTAAGAACTTCTCTTAACATGTCAAATCAAAAGTCATTTCAAAAGTCTGCATGAGGCATTTACTCACAGATGTCCTCTGCTTCGCTCTGCTCGGAGTCACTGTCACTCTCACGCTGCGGTCCCGCCTCCTCCCACAGAATGTCATCCTCACTGCCATCCAATGCGTTGGATATGCAGCACTTTTTAAAGCCGTTGATGATGCTCTCTGCTGTTACTGCATCCCATGCCTGGAGGATCCATTCACAAAGCCGATGTACAGTCGGTTTGTGAATTTTTCCAGACGGTGTGAGAGCGTGATCACCGAACAGGAGTCACTCTGTGTACCTCCTGCGCAGGTTGTCCTTGAAAGGCTTGTTAACCACCACATCCAGCACCTGCAGCTGGCTTGTCATCCCGCCCGGTATGATGACCAGGTCGCCGTTCATCTTCCTCACCTGAGTTTTGACAGCATCAGTCAGGTGTCCGCAGAACACATCCATAATCAGCATGTTTCTCTTGAGCGTGCCGCGTCGCGTTCCCCACACCACTTTCAGCCAATCGACCACAAGTTCGCTCTCCATCCAGCCTTTCTCCTGGGCTCTCACAATAATGCCAGCTGGCATTGGCTCTTTCAGCACAGTTTTGCGTTTTAAAATCGCATACGGCGCCAACTTAGTCCCGTCTGCCAGGCACGCCAACATGACGGTGATCTGATTCTTTTCATTTCCAGTTGACTTCACGATAAGACTTCTCACCTGCGGCAGTGCGAGGCCGCTCCGGCGCATCATCCTTATGCACCAGCCGGTGCTGGCTTTAAATTCGGTGGTCGGTATGTTTAACTCCTTGGCAATGTTCAAGGCTTTGAGCTGGATGATGGCTCTTGTAATGGGCAGACCTTCGTTACGTTTCTCAGTAACAAACTCACACACCCGCCTGTCAATTTCTTGGAAACAGCCGCATTGAGGACCACGAAAAGCTTTTCTCTCGTTGTTAGCATTTCTCAGACAGTCTTTCTGGACGTGCCAGCTTCGGACGTTACACTCCGCAACGCTGTATTTTCTGGCTGTGTGGCAGTTGTTAGTTGCTTCTGCTGCGTTGACAACCATCATTTAGAAGTTAGTGTCGTAACTCTGCCGCAGCTGTTGGTTAACTTGCCTAATTTTAGATCCGCTTAACTCCAGATTCCTCCCCAGTATTTTTCTTCTCTATTTCAATGACCTCACCACGACCTCTGCTGTTGCAGTTGTGTACTGACCCCAGACCCCTGTGAATTATAAAGATATGACATATATATGTAAACGCTTAGTCAGCGATTAAAAGACGACCCCCACCCCGTTTGCATAATTGATAATTTAAAAAAAATCCTTGCATTTATTTATTCGGCTAAATACGGTAAATAAATGTCAGGCTCTGCAGCTGCGCATCCTGATAATGTATTTCCGAGCACTGTTCTTTTAGAAAATGGAGGATGGTTTTGGGATGATATTCAAACTCTGGTGAAAATCCATAAGGATCGAAAAATGTCCCGATGCCCTCTTGCTCCAGCTAACCAATGTTCACCAGGCAAATTAGATAGGTGTGTGTTTACTATGAAATAGGCTGGGAGCAGGAATTTTTTCATGATTGTAGACAGCTGATCAGAGGCGAACACTTTTTTCGGACTCTTCTCTTTTTTTTCACAATCCGTGTCCTGTCTGGCTGTGAAGCAAACAGAATTGATGTCTGAATGCTGTTGACAAGCCTTACAGATTTATTCTAAGGTGGAGCATCAAAGTGTCTGCTTTTAATGTCACGCCTGATACTTAAAACACAGTCACACACTCCCTCCCTCATGCTCACACATACACATACAACTCAAGACTTACATGAATGCACGCCGGACACCCACTCATGCTCCCCATACACACCCTATTCACTCTGGTCCCGGTAATGCTGCACATTGGGTACAACCATCACCGGTTCCCAGAGTTTGACCCTTTCTGCTGGGGTGCTGATGAGCAGGCTCCCCCACCCAACACTGAGCACAGCAACCCACCACCCCAGACTCCAACCAGACGGCCGGATCTCCCTCCTAGCCTCCAGCCCCACGAAGCCAAGCAACAACAGAGGTGTGCTAAGACCCCTAGTCTCCCTCCGCCTGCTCCAATATAGTGTTGTGTGTCGATGAGGTGTATTCCATGGCTGTGGGGAGCGGGCAGTGCGGGCATTGTCTGGCCTATGCCAGCTGATGCCACCACACCACCCCACTTGCACCCTCGGTGTCTAAGTGCAGTTTAAAATTGGAAGTGGGCACTGGCACTCGGGAGGAAGCTGAGAAATCCCCCTGCCAACTGCCATTGAATGTGCTCACTCCCAAGGCCCTAAGTGTGTGTTTGAGTGGAATGTCGTCGGTGGAAGTTGTAAGTTGCAAATACAATTGGGGGGCAGATTGCCACAGGAATGCGGAAATGGGGTCCATACCCGCACTCCCTGACTTGCCCACCCCCCAAGGTCATATGTGTCCATACCCCCCCCCCCCCCCCCCCCCCAAGGTTCTATGTGCATGTTTGTGTGATGATGTGAGGGAGCAGGAGGAGAGAAATATGCGGGGATGGGAAGAAACGGCTGGTTGGGCTTAGCCCTCCAGGGAGCCAGCTCCCCCACTGGCCCCAATAGGCACCTCTGTTGTCAAATTGCCACCCAGGGCGTGGAGACCCCAGCCCATCCTGCCAGGGCCCAAAGCAGCAGCATTACAGAGCCTCACAGAGTCCGAGGGCACCAACCCAGCCCCACCCCATCAGAAGATCTATGCCCATCCTTGCATTTGCGCAACTTCCAGAATATATAAGACATAGGACATCCAGGTAAGGTTGGGTCCTCCCCCTCCTGGACCTCCCCCTCCCCTGTGATGGGACAGCAGAGGAGCCAAGGTCTACCTGAGGCCCCTGAACCCGGGCCAGGCACTGCTGCATGTTCCTGCCTTCTTCCCGGCAGCATACATATCAGGACCCGACCCCCAAAGCCCCGCCCAGATCCCCACACGGGGCCGGCCACCCCCACACCCCGAGCCCCCAGGCCTCCACCCAGACGCAATGCAGCTGCCCCACTCACAACCGCCAGTAGTCCACCCCCCGAGGCAACCCAAGCACCTCCAGAGGGGGTTACCGGCCCCCCAGTCCCAGACACCCCCAGTGAACCCACCTCCAGGGAACATCCGGATACTCTAAACTCAGACCCCCCACCCCCCCACCCACATCATCCCGCCGGACAACGTCAATGGTCCCCCATCATCGCTATGTAATGGAACCGATCAAAGGAGCCCAGAGAGATTGGTCTGAAGTGGAAGCAGAGGCTATATCAAGTGTAATATGATCTAACAAAAGATTTCAATACTGGTTAATGCAGAGAGTTTCTCTATTTTTCCAATTCAAGATGGTAGTTTTCTTAGCGATGCATATGGCAGTCAGAACCACGTGAACCAAAGATGTTTCAATCGGGACATCGTTCAGGTTTCCCAGTAAACAAAGAGAGGGGGTGGTTGGGAAATGACATTTCAGAGACTTTGACAGGTCTTCACATACTCTACCCCAAAATTCCTGGACAGGTGGGCAGGACCACAGTGCATGAATGTAATTGTCAGGAATGTTGTTTGTGCAATGTGTACAGGTGTCAGATGACACAAACCCCATCTTGAACATCCGATGACCTGTATAGTGTACTCTGTGTAGAATTTTGTACTCAATTAATTGTAAATTGGAGTTTCTGATCATTTTAAAAGTTTTTAAACAAGTTTGGGACCAGAAGTTCTGGTCAAAGCTGACTGATAGATCCACCTCCCATTTTTCAATAGGGATTGCTATTCTGTCGTCTATTTTGGACAGTGTCTTATATACTTTAGACAGTAGTTTGGGGGGTTTGAGATTATAGAAGTCTAATACCCTTGGTGGTGTTTGTAATTCTATTTTATTGAGCTTAAATTTTTGTTTGACTACAGATTTAATT